AGCTACAACGGTACTTGAGAGCTTGCTAAATCTAAATCTGATCAGAGGTTACCGACTGCATAGGCCATAAGAGGGTTCGCGAAACCAGACATAACCGAGTTCCACTACTCTAGGCACCAGGGTGGATTGTCTCTGTCAAATATTTTAGCACTCATACTTTGCTGCATTTGATGGAGTTTGCAGCTCCTGATTAGTGCAGGTTGCAAGCATTCTTGTACATACCGGTACGGTTCACACACCGGTATATACGTGCACGCCCAGTTCGCAACGGCGAACCGGTTGCAGACTGTACAGAGCCATGTTTTGTACCGGTACCGACATCCCACATCTACACAAGAAAGAACTACTGTTCGAGTGCTGTACTGCGTACCGGTACATGTACCACTTAGAAAGAGCTCATCTTGATGCCGCGTATTCAAAAGGAATTATAGATATATCAGCCACCGGGACATCAGTTGTTAAAGAGCTGCGAAAACTAAGACAAAGGGGTGTCAACTTCAGGCCCTTTCAATAATCGGACCATTCGCACCTCGGCGAGGTCGGACGCAGTAGGACTTAATACAAAAGTCCACCAAGGCTACTGTATCATGTCCATGACCAAATTTGCCACCTGTAGTAGCACATCGATTCGATCATTCATCGCTCCGTCCACAAATCCTTGCCTTTCCTCCCTTGCAAAGCTCTCATTATTTCTCCTTTCAGTGACAAAGCATCTGCGCAAGAATATGGATACCGAAAATGAACCTCCGAGCGTTGCTGCCAACGCCACGACCAACTCCATGAATGGAGATGGAGATACAATCACAGGCAAGAAGGATATCGCTCTGCTGTCAACGACAAGACCCTCCAGAAGATCCATCGTGCGGTCCACTGCTGCACGCCGTTTCAGCCCCGATGAGCTGGCTGATGATGATGATGAAAAGTTCTTTTGGGCTGGAGCAACATCTGCTGCGAGTAATGGTGTTTGTTCTAACCGGCTAACAGCACTTTGGCAAACTGCTGCTCAAGGTGTGCGCACACCAGCATCATCCCTTGGCGTGCATGACGAGGAGACTATTCGTAATGAAACCCTACAAAACTTTTTTGAAGGTCTTGATTTGGATGGAAGTGGTCTGTTGGAACGGCATGAACTGCAAGCAATCTTGATAGAAGCATCCAAAACTACCAAGATGCCCACGGATGAACCTATCATTGAAGCAGCCATTGATGCCCTGTTGGAAGATGTCCAGTCAGAGAAAGCTCTCAAATCAATGGCTCTGACGCGTGCTGCTGGCAACACTAGCAGTACTACTAGCTTTTGGGCAGCTGATGCCACCAATCTAGAGCAGTTCATTGACATGTTCCACCGTCACCCAGACATGTACAGGCTCTTTGAGACTGACAAGACTAGCAAGGATCTTAAAGAATATGTCAAGACTCGCCAAGTTTCGCCAAAAGAACAAAAGCTGGAAAATAAAGAAAATGAACAGGCATAGAGTTCCAGCTGGATTGATTGGAATGTCACCGCAGCTTGGCTTGTTCTCTACATCTTGGCTACGATCATTGCCTTTGCCACCAAAGCATACAAATATGCCAACCACGACGAAGCTCAAGCTGTGTTTGGAGGCTGCATTGTAGTGGCAAGAGGGGCTGCTCAGTGTCTCAACTTGAACTGTGCCTTGATACTATTCCCCATGGCAAGAAGCTTCATGACTTATCTCCGGCAGACACAAGCCCGTCATTACTTTCCATTTGACCATGTTGTTTCTATCCACATGATTCTGGGAGCTGCCATTCTATTTTGGGCCTGTCTTCATGTGGGAGGACACATCTGTGATGTGCATCGCTTGGCTCTGGCAGATGAAGAAGACATCTATGTGTTGTTTGGGGAAGAAAATCTCCCAAAGAATCCATTGCCTGAAGATCCAGGGGCCCGCTGGTCGATGGTACTCTTCCAAACCCGTGCTGGAGTGACTGGCATTTTCATGGTTCTCTGCATTCTTGTTGCTTATCCATTGATCTATGTCCGGCGTTCATATTTCAATGCATTTTGGACAAGTCATCATTTGCTCCTCCTCATGCTGTTGGCCCTATGTGTTCATGGGACTGGGAACTTGCTGGAGCACTATCAATCGGTCTTTTGGCTTACCATCCCCCTCGGTGTCTACTTGATCCCGCGTATTTGGCGAGAACCCCCTGCTAGCAAGACAGGTGTCATTGGTGCAAATGTCAAGCCAGGAGGGGCCTTGTGGCTACGGCTGGAGAAACCAGAATCCTGGAATTCACGAGTTCATGCAGGCATGTATGCAGTCATCAATGTCCCTGCTATGAGTCTCTATGAATGGCATCCCTTCACCCTCACATCATCCCCATCAGAGCCATTCATTGAGTTTCACATTCGAAATGCAGGTGACTGGACCAACAAGCTCCACAAGCATGTCCAAATGCTCCATGATGCCAGCTGCAGCAGGCACAGCAGTGATGCTGACTATCGTTTAGTCATGGCCTCCACTACTGGCAATGGAATAGCTGGTAAAAAGTGAGCCCACTATTTTGTAGACAGGAGCAACCTGGTACTCTGGAGCAGTAGAAAAAATAGCCAAACCAGATGGTGCGACATAATAGCTGTTTCAATAGATTGTTCTTTATTCAGCTACATCATCCACAGCAGCAGCTGGTACTATTTCTACACGAAACACAAACTGACTCATCTGCTGTTGGCGACAACACAAACTGACTCGACTCATTCTGTTGTTGTTGTTGTCGTCATCAACCACTCCTTAGCGCCATTGTCGACGGCCGACAGTCCACAACCACTCATCTCGTCGACGGCCGGCCGGCCGGCCGTCGTCGTCGTCGTCAACCACTCAGCCATCGACAACCACTCAGCCAGCAACAACAACAACAAGAAAACTTTCCTGCCACAATCGTCTTGAGAGAGACAAGAAGCCAAGAGGACAGAATTGGAGGCATGGGCAGCAGCAGCAGCCTAGGCATTAGTATCCGATCTCTTGATTGGCTCTGACAACATCACAATGATGATGTTGTCAGTAATTCATTCATTCAACAACTACATGGCTCGATAGCCAGGCCTTGGACGATCAGCAAACTCAGCATCGCTGTCACTGTCAGTGGGATTATTATCCTTGTTGGCATTCACACTGTTAGCCACCGTGGAAGTCATGTCGACGAGGGTAGTAGCAGTGGCAGCGGCGGCAGGAGAATTGTCGTTTCTGATTTTCAGAGCATCATTGTGAAGATCCATCATTGCCATGGCATGATCATTTCGCATCTTCTTGTCTGGAAAAGACCATTGTGCCTTCTTGATTCCACGGATCTCCCAGTCTTCCTTTGCTAATCCAAAGAACGAGGTGTCATGGTATCGAACAAAGCAAGTGATCTTGTCATCTATCACTGGTTCCTTGTTCTTCTTCCTCTGTGGCTCGCCATAGTGCATTGCCTTTTTACACTTTCCACAAACATGAGAGCAGCTCTCTCCACAGACCACGCATATTTTGCTTCTGTTGTTGGGAAGTCTTTCCACTGTCGCCATGTGAGAGCAAAGGCCATCCAATCGGCCACACAATCTACTCTTTGCGTCATGCAGATCCTGTGGTGTCAGGGTTGAAGCTGTGGAGCTGTTTGGCGTATTTGGTCTCTTCCTCTTGGTAGTGGATCTTGGTGGTGTCATCTTCTTGTTTCGCACATTGGTAGACTGCTTTGTGGACACTCGGAAGTTCTCATCTCCTGGGTAGGCGCGATGGGTAGGATTGTATTGGCACATTTGCTTGCCGAGTTGCTCTCTGAATTGCCAGAAGCTGAGAGGTTTGGCAACCTTCTAATCTTCCTTCAGCTTTCCCTCTGCACATTCCAGATACATGTCGTAGGCGACAACGATGGCCATTGCCTTTGCATGGAGCATGGCTGCATGCCAGTATTTCCAGGACCTGTAAATGAGGGGAGGGAATATGAGATAATGGAGGAATAAAAGAAGCAGCAGCTAATCAACAAACGGCCATCTTACCGGTAGCATAGGTTACAGTTCTGGATCATGTGGTCTAGTCGGTCAACAGCTCCATACGTTTTTAAATACAACTCCCTAGCCTCATTCATTTCAATCGCCCATTGCCTTTTATTAGAAGCTCTTCCTCGTTCCTTTGTGTGTGCATAGAGTCCACATTGATTGAGTGCATTGACAGTGGCAATGTTACAGGAGGAAGTTGACTGAAAAGAACAGAAGACAATGTTGGAATCCTGCGCAATGGCCTTGGTGAGTACAATAAGATTCTCGAATCTTGCAGCTTTTGACCTTGGATTAACAACTGTCTTCTCCTTGTGAAGATACATGCATGGTACACCGGATGGTAGCCTGTCACGGCGACAAGTCATTGTCATTCCAAAGCCACGGGAACCTGCATAATGAAGAACATTGTCACCTGAAAAGTGGTTGTCCCACGTAATGTGTGGAAGGTCTAGGAAGATCTTGTGAGGTGTGAAGCCCGTCTCCATTTCATAGCCAACCGTGAGGCAATACAGTTTGTCCAGAATATTCCTAGCTTCAAGTTGACCACCTGTACAGTGCCAATTCTCAGGCTTCTTGTGGAGATTATGCCGATGAACGTATGCTCTTGGCCGAATCCTGTCAACCTCAGTAGCTAAGACGATTTGACCTCCTTTGTGGATGTGTGGTTTATTCATAATGAGGGAAACCAATCCACTGCCAACTTCACCCCAGCCACTGAATCCCCAAGACGTCTCATCTGCAGCCAAGTCAAGTCCAGATCTCTTGGTGACAGCGTTGCAGTTGTGAATTAAGACATCATAGATGTAGTCAAACTTGTAAGCCGGATCATACTCTGGTTCACCTTTCTTTGGAACAGAAAGATTATTGCACAACTTGTAGACTCGCTTCAATTCCAGCCATCTTGATTTGGTCATGGCGCCACTAACAAACGAACAGAATGCAGTATTGCCTTCCCTTTTGTCGAAACGTCTCATCAAAGCACCTCCACTACCTGTTGGAGGAAACATACCTGACACCTCTTTACTATTGACTCGTGTATTAAACATCTAGTCCGGTTCGCATGCATATTCATGATGCAAGGAACCGAGGGAGTTTTAGGTCTAAAGTGTTACGGGGGTCCTTATATCCAATTCAATCACAAGAATTGCTATGCACCACCAGAAAATCCTCACTTTTGCTTTTCAGCTTAATATAAAACCAAATTACTCCCCAATAAGCTGCAGTATTACTAGCAAACAACACTGAAAAGCAAAAGTGAGGATTTTCTGGTGGTGCATAGCAATTCTTGTGATTGAATTGGATATAAGGACATGGCCACCAATGTTGGAAGCACCAAGCTTACCCAAGAAGGTGACACACCTTACGGCAATGGTTATTCCAATCCAGGAGGCATCGCCAATATCAACGCTTTGTCTCTTGTTGTGGATGACTGCGTCAGGGCACAGGATGGATCCTATGTCCTCATGGACTCAAGAGTCGACGACGCCATCTACCACTACCGCCCAACTGGGATCCATACCAGGTATGGAAGGACCGCCAAAGGTCTGTATGGCGTGTTGATTGAGCAAGACCTGCTGGATCACATGGCCCAACTCAACCAGTTTTCACCGGAGTTCCAGCATTTGGTCCAGACGGTGGAGGGCAACCTCGAAGGCTTTACCAAGAAGCAAGCCAAGGGTGCATTTCTCGCAAGAAATCTGTACCACAACCTCCAGTGCACTACGCTAAAAGCTAGTGTAAAGATCTTTCGAGTGTTTTGAGTTTGAGAGAATGAAAATGAAAGTTATGAGAGGATTAGAAAGCTATGAAAACTAATCAACGAGAGAGATCCACAATCAAAGGATCGTAGATCTGAACTCCCGCGGGAGACTGTAGAGTGTGATAGAGTAGGTTGCGGTAGCATACTCACTACGCTACTCATCACACCAAAAACGGAACGCGTGGAAGATTCGCTAGCATTTATCTAGTAGCGTGGAAAGTATCCACGTGGCTAAATATCTAGAGCGAGTTTCATCATCAACCTAGTATGACTAGAGCGGTCATGAGAACCCTCCTCAATGACTATTCGCGAAGGACTCGTCATGAGTCGAACTCAAACCCTATCTAGGATCGAGTCGCGAATAAGGCTAAGAGCCGTGTATTGCATTCGCCCCCTGACAAGGGTCACGGAAGGCACGACATCAGTCGGACAAGGAGAAAATATGAATTAAAGTGCGGGGCACTCTCGAGATGGATGTAGACATGTGCGTCGCACGATGGCAATCCTACAAGGGGATCAGGCCTTGTATGGGTGTAATACCTTATGTTCCAAGTCTGGTAGACTGTGCCGCTATTGGCGGTAGTATGTCGGAGCCGTACAGTGCCATTGTTATTGACTCGGTCTGTGTGGTAAGACCTTGTACGTTGGCTGACCGTACTAACGGTTCTGATACGTATGAATCATCGTAGTATCGTTGACATTGTTTGATGAGGGACACGTGTCGTGTTCTCCTATCGGTGTTCTTCTTGATAAGTCGTTGGCACGTTCCTTAATGTATTTCCGGTTTGCTTTGAAACGGATGTGGTGAGTTGTCTTACGATTGACGCGCGTGAACTGCGACGAAGTCCACGTTTCATCCCGAGAGTCTTCTCTCCCTCTGCGCGGGACTCACGTTCTTTGTCCATGACAGTCGGTCGTGGATACCGGGTAATCCACGTCCGTTTCAGAACGATGGTTCTCCGTCTGCTGTCCTGGAGCAGCCCTGGTAGTTCATGGTCCAATGAATCTACGAAGTTCCTCTGTTGGTAGGAAGAGCGATAGCTGGATCGCATCTATTATCTTTTTAGTTAAGGTTGGCTTCCTTCTCGAGTAGTCAATTGTCTAGATAATCCAGTTCTTCCTTTCGGGGAAGGCCTTGGTAGTGTTGATTTCCATCCGATTCGGAAGTCTTTGGAAAGGTTATCTAACTATTCAACGCGATTCGTTAGATCGACGTCCGTTTAGGATGAGTTGATCATCATGTATGCACGGACATTTTCTAAATCATGCATGCGTGTTTTCATCTTCCTTTGGAAAATGTCGGGACTATTACATAGGCCAATTGGCAACTTCTGGTACTCTTGCTTTCCCTCAGGAGTGCAATGGTATAGTGTTGCTTCGAGTGAAGGGAAAGCCGATTGTTGGTAGTGTCCCGTTTCAGGTCTAGACTAGTAGGGCACTTGAATCCATTAGGTTCAAGAGATGTCTTGTATTTTGGGATAGGATAAAGCTTCGCTTGCTCCGTTTGTTCGGTTCCTGAAATCAGAGATGAATCCTACAGATCCTCTTTCTTGGGAATTATAAAAGTTGGCGCTGCCCACTTGGGACATTCACCTTCTTGAGTACCTCTGCCTCGCAGAGACGTTAACCTCCTTCTTAAGATGTTGGTATGGACCCGTGGAGTAGGGTGACCCTAGTATAATAGGATTTAGCTGCGGGACGAAGTTCTACTTCGGTGTCGTCCATTCGCAACTCTCCCAAAGTATCCTCGACCGGGTCGA